GTCTGGGAGGCAGGAGCGTATCCCTGCCTACATAGCTCAGCCACCTGAAGAATGGGGCCATTCCTGTCTCACCTGCTGGGGAAGAGCAAGGAACACTGGTATAAAAAGTATGGGTGATGCTGCCTGGAGGCTGTCACTCTGCCTGTGGCACACGCCCTCCCAGCCACCGGGGAGGTGGCAAGTTCTACAGTGGGATGGGAGGAAAATGTTTCCAAGGCTACCTACTGGCAAGGCCTTGTCAGGCACCAGGAATTCCTGTTTAGGACCTGTCTTCCTTAGGGCTAGCATGCCCCAGGCACTGTAAATCACAATGAAAACGCTAATAGTAATAACTACTGCATTTGTCAAATGTGCATTTTTGCCAGGAATTATACTAGGGCTCTTCCTCTCCATCCATCTATCCATCCATCCATCCATCCATCCATCCACCCAACCATCCATCATTGACAACCTTATAATAACCTTGAAAAAGGCACAGTCCTGCCTTCAGACGTGAGGAAATGGAAACTCACAGAGTGGCTTAATTCAGGTCACCCAGCTAGTAAGTGACACTGGCTTCCTCCCAGGGGCATTGCTATGAGAGCCACTCAGGCCACATCCCAGGAGCCTGACTACCATCTTACCATCCCCTGCCCCAAAGTAGGGAGAAGGGGCTGCTGATCAGGCTGGATGTGAAATGGGAGCTGTTGATGCAAGAGGAAGAGGCAAGACCTGCTGGCTGCAGCAGTGACGGTAGCCAAGGGCGGCTGCAGCCCCCAACCCAACCCCCTACTCAGACCGCGGTGCAGGAAGCGATCTCGGACATGGGCTGGCCCAGTGGTCCTGAAGTATGTCTGTGCATCAGATTCACCCGGGGAGCATTTAAAAATACAGAGCCCTGGGGGCGCCTGGGTGACTCAGTCGTTAAGCGTCTGCCTTCGGCTCAGGTCATGATCCCAGGGTCCTGGGATCAAGCCCCATGTCAGGCTCCCTGCTCAGCGCGGTGTCTGCTTCTGCTTACCCCTCTGCCCCTTCCCCCTGCTCCTGTTCTCTCTCTCTAATAGGTAAAGTGCTTAAAAAAAAAAAAGTGGTGAAACCCAAGTTTTAAATAAATAAATAAATAATACAGATTCCTGGATACAGAGATTTGGATTCTGTAAATCTCAGAGGGGCCCAGGAAGGTGCATTTTACCACCCATCTGGTGGTTCTGACGCAGAGCCAGCTTTGATAAGCCGGGGCTGGTCTAACCCCTTCACTACACCCCGTCACGAAACACTAGATCTCAGATGAAGGAACTGACCTGCCTCTGGTCATGCAGGCAGGAAGCAGCAGAGTGGAGATTCGGACCCAGGTGGGCCTAGCCACCAACATTAGACTGCGTCTCCTGGCAGGAGCAGACAACTTGGAAATTGATCCCCTCTCTGGTGCCTGGAACTGACAGAAAAGTCGCAGGGAAAAAGATGGACTCAATATGTAAATATCTGACAGATCTAGAAAACTTGTTTCCAAAAATAAGGAGAGAGAGGATGGGTATACTGGATAAAAGGATGGTATACTGGAAGCAATTCTGACAGCAAATAAGACAAAAAGTCGACATAGTTATAATATCTATTCTGTTCTAGTTTATTCTATCTAGACAGTTCATTCAACTCGACCAGGAAATATGCATACAACACAATAATTAGTAAATAAATTTTAGAAATTTTATTATTAATAAATTAATTAATAGAAAATGTTTAATCTGGTTGGGAAACTTTAATATGTGAACTAAAACAAGGTACCATTTACATAATATTTTAAAACTATATTTATATATATGTATATATACATATATACGTATACACATATATACATATATATACACACACATATATATATAAAATTTGTAGAAAAGGTACAGGGAAGGATACACATGGTGGTAGAGCTGTCTGACTGCCTCTTAATATCTATCTGGCACCCCCCCCCTCAGTTTTCTAAATTAACCAAGCCCTTCTATTATGGGGGATGGTGGGAAGCAGCAACATGCTCAGTTTAAAAATCACACTTCCCAGCCTTTGTGCATAAGGTGGCCAATTAGAAGCAAGCCGAGGTCATGGGGCAGGGGGACTTTGGAGGAAGCTTTTTAGAGGGGGCTGATTCAGCTGGAGGAAACACCATTGCTCCTTCACCCTCCCCCCTTTCTATTGCCTGGAATGCAGACATGATGGCTGGAACTCCAGGGACCATATTAGACCATGTGGAGCCTTTAAGGGATAGAAGTTAGGAACTGAGAAGATAGAGCACAAAGTTAGAAGCTTGGGTTCTTCATGACCAGAGATCACAGGCCCACCGTACCAGCCCTGAAATGCTCTGTCCAGACCTCTTCTATACGGAAGAAAAAGAAATATATTCATTTCCTTAAGCTTATGTTACTTTGGTTTTCTGCCATCTGCACTTGAACCTAAACTTAACTGACACACACGTCAAACCTTTGTGGAGTGTAAAGGGGGACTTTCACACTTTACTTTCTATGCTTTGGTACTGCTCGTAGGATTATTACTTTTTACAGTAAGAATGTATTCATGTGTTATTTATATACACATCTGTTTCGGAGCCCCCGAGAATGCAAACTGAGTGCTAGCCCCACCACTTCCTACCTGGGTGACCCTGGGCGGTCAGTTAAGTCCCTAAGCCTGTTCCCTCATCTATAAAATGGGCATGATAATAATAGAACTTATCTCCCTGGGTTGGTGTGCAGCTTAAATGAGCTAATGCAGATAACACTGTTGGCACTGCCCCTGGCTCCCAGCTATGACTACTACGAATGCTATATAGCCCTTGGGCACTGTGGCTGGCAGAACCAGTGAAAAAACCCAGGACGTGTTGCTGAGTAAAAAAACAGCTTGCTAAATTGGCACATGAATATGATCCCCTTGGTGAGAAATTATTTTTATTTCTACATCTATATGCATACGTATGCATCAAGGGACGTCTGGAGGGACGGTTGTCCAAATGTTAGTAGTGGTAACTTCTGGGTAGTAGAATTTTTGCTTTCCTCTCTACGGTTGGAAAAGAGCATTATTTTTTTGAGCAGGAAAAGAAAAGAAGAAAAATCTTCTGGAAAACTGTAACATTTTATACCAAGTATTATTCGAGCACTCCCACCATCCTTTATTTTTTTTAAAGATTTTACTTATTTATTTATTTGACAGAGACAGAGAAAGCAGGAACACAAGCAGGGAGAGTGGGAGAGGGAGAAGCAGGCTTCCCGCCGAGCCGGGAGCCCGATGCGGGACTCGATCCCAGGACCCCGGGATCATGACCTGAGCCGAAGGCAGTCGCCCAACCAACTGAGCCACCCAGGCGCCCTCCCACCATCCTTTAACCTAAACTCTCTCATTCTTGGGGATTGACCTGAGGAAATAATTGCAATGAAGGAAGAAGCTAAATGCACAAAAGCATGTGCCGCAGCATGATTTATAGTAGAGGAAAACGGGTAACCACTTAAGTGACTTACATCAGGGTAATAATTACTAAATTATTCACCCACTGGAACATTGTGCAACAAAATGAGACAGAGGACAACCATGTAACAACATGGAACAATGCTTCTGACCCAACTAGTGGCCAAAGGCGCAGATGCAAAATGAGATCTGTGCTGGAGCCCAGCTGGGCAAAAATCTTGCATGCATTTGGATGAGGACTGCAAGGGCGCACAGGCCAATAAAAACCACCGAATTTGTTGGGACCACTGATTGGTGGGGAGTTGTGTTTTTTTTTTTTTCTTTTTCATTTAGAATTCTAATGTTTCCATAATGTTGTTTGTGTAATAATTTTTTTTTAAAGTGGCTTTAAAAATCCCCTTAGGAAAAGACGGGGAAGCAGGGAGAGGAAGATAGGAGGGAGGAGCTCTGCATAAGAGAAATCCAGAGGGGATCTAGAATACAGGGCAACAGTTCCTGCTTGGCCTTCTACCTGGGTGGTCCCAGAGGTTGTGCCCACTTGGCTCCCTGACTTGAGAGGGATCAGGTGGATGGAAGAGTTGCCAAAGTTAGGAAGGCAGTCCATTAGTTGATCATAAAGGATTGAGTGATCTTTGAATTGGGATCATCTGGCTAAGTTGATCATGCTTGCTATTGACGAGATTACAGAGAAATGAGCATTAGTGAGCTGGCCAGAGGGGATCCAGGCAGGCTTCCTGGCGGGTAGTTTGGCACTGTGTATCCAAAGGATGTGCATATCCTCAGAGTCAGCAATCCCACTTCTTAGGACTTATCCTAAACCTAAGGAAATGGTCAAGCCAGGGTGTAAAAATATTTACCTAAGACGTTCCTCATGGAGCTTATAAAAATAACATTTAAACCTCCAGTTTCACCAAAAAGGAACTAGAAACCAAATTTTGGCATAACCATGCAGTGGTATCCTATGGAGCTACACAGAGTACAGACACAAATCTGACGTGGAAAGACACTCACCACATATTAGGTACGAGAAGGCTCCACAGCAAGAGCTAGATGATCCCATTTTTGTAAGACTGTGTGTAAATATGCTCATTTGCATATAAGAATTTCTACAGTTACATACTGGAATCCTGGCGGTGATTCATCTTTGAATCGTGGGATTATAGACTGTATCAGCCAGGGAGGTCTCAATTACGCTGCAGTGACACCCTGAAAACCTACCAGTTTCCAACAAATGGTAATTTCTCACTCCTGCTTGTCTGTTGTGGTCGGCCGCTCCTCTGCCCCCATCTTCACTCCGGGCCCCAGATTGACTGTCTCTACCTGAACATGTCAGGCCTCTGTGGCTGAGGGAGGAGACAGTGGCCCACCCGTGGGCTCTTACAGATGGTGCCAGGCCACTGTCATGGCCCTGCCCAGGTCCAACAGGGCAGGCATATCCTCTCCCGAGGGTGCTCAGGGAGGGGCATTCGAGGAGGGCTAGTAGACATTTCGAACAATTAATACAATCTACCAGGCAGGTTATTTCCCCCTTGTCTTAGTCCATTTGGGCTGCTGTAACAAAAACACCATAGACCGGGTGGCTTAAACAATAACCATTTATTTCTCAGTTCTGGAGACGGGGAAGTCCAAGATCAAGGTGCCGGCAGATCTGGGGTCTGCTGAGGGTCCACTTCCTGGTTTGCAGACGTCCATCTTCTCTCCATGTCTTCATGTGGTGGAAGGGACCAGGGGTCCTCTGGGGCCTCTTTTAGAAAGGCACTAAGGCTCCACCCCCATGACCTAGTCACCGCCCAAAGGTCCCACCTCCTAATATCATCACCTTGGGGATTCGGTTTCCAGGTATGAATTCTTGGGCATGGGGGCCACAAACACTGATTCTACAGCAATCCTATTATTTCAAGTCCTTTTCTTTGCAGCATGTAGTCCTGTCCCAGGAAGTGGATGGTTTAACCGCTGGAGCCTCTTCGGGAGGGAAAACAGAGATACCAAGTCCAGCTACCTGGCACTGGGCAGATACAGCAGCTTCAAGCCTGAGGGTGAGAGGCCAGAAGGCGGTCAGAAATCTGCCTAATTTAAGAGACAGGTTAACTGACCTGTTATAAAATGACGATGTAACAGAAAGTTCTGGATGTCCAGAAGCATCACACCAGGTGGGCTACTTACTCCTCATAGGACTTGAGTCAAGAATCTCAATGTCCCCAAGTGTAAAATGGAAATTAAAATAGCTGCCCCAGGGGCACATGGCTGGCTCAGTCAGCAGAGCATGTGGCTCTCGATGTTGGGGTCTTGAGGTCGAGCCCCACGTTGGGTGTAGAGCCTACTTAAAAAAAATGGTAATAATAAAATAAAATAGTTGTCCTGCCTACTTCACACTGCCCGGTGGGGGATGGGGATGACTCAGTTTAAGGCTTAAAATTGTAATGTTCTTTTTTAAGATTTTATTTATTTGCGAGAGAGACAATGAGAGACAGAGAGCATGAGAGGGAGGAGGGTCAGAGGGAGAAGCAGACTCCCTGCCGAGCAGGGAGCCCGATGCGGGACTCGATCCCGGAACTCCAGGATCATGACCTGAGCCGAAGGCAGCCGCTTAACCAACTGAGCCACCCAGGCGCCCCAAAATTGTAATGTTCTTGCACGTGGAAGGCTTGGTCCTTCGTGTTGTAACCACACACTCACATATTCCATTTCTCCAGCTCCTCTCATCACTTTGTCCCCAGAGTGGCTTCTTGTCCCCTTTTATTTGTGTTCCTGTCCTTTCAGCAGGGCGGGTGAAAAGATGACAACCAAAACCTCACAAGTGAGAAGAACCGCTCTGATGAATGAGCCACGGAAGGCCCGGGACGCAGAGGGAGGCGCCCCACTCCACGGTGTCATGTCAAAAAGTAGCTCTGTCCCCTTGGTCCTCCTGACCTCAGCCCCTCAGGATGGAAGGCAGATGTCAGGGCTTCCCAAACTGGCCTGCTCATTAGAGCTGCTTAGGAAGCATTTTGAAAGCTAGCTGCCTGGGCTCCACCTCCCAGAGATTCTGATTCAGCTGCTGAGGGTGGGACGAGGCTGAGTCACAGAAGGTGATCCGTGCTGCCTGCACTGGGCTCTGGCTCCCGTCCAGGCCCTCTGCGCTGGCCTCGGGAGGTGCCCCAGCAGGGAGGGCCCAGCCATCTCGGGTGGCACGAGCCCCGGCAGCTGGGAGAAACCCGAGCGCACCTAGGTTATCTGATGCTGCACCTGCCCTGGCCCCGTGCTCACTTCTTGAGTATCAAGATCAGGGGAAGGCTCGGGAAGAAAGGCTCCCCCCCAGTAGCACAGCTCACCCTTCCAGCAGCCCCAGGGCCAGAGGGGGCAGGAAAAAACCATATATGCCCTTGCCAGCTCCCAGCCCTTCAGAACCAAATATGCGGCGGCCGCTGCCAGCTTACACTTCCTTAGCCTGCCCGCCCATCTTTACCGATAACCTGGGCCTTTATCTCTTGACACATCTATCAATATGGCAGTGAGTTCCTCGAGGGCTGGGATGGGTCTCATTCATCTCTGCATGCCCTGAGCCAAGCCGAGCACACTATTAGTGCTTGTTGAATATTTCATGAATAAAGGTGATGTAGTAACACTAACCATGTTACCACAAGGTCAAAGAAGGACTGATAAATACACCCACTAGGCACCCAGGGACTGCACGTGCTCCCACATCTGCAGGGTGGAGGGAACCCCATCCTTAGTCACCCAGCCAGAGGCTGAGCTTAGCATGCCCGGATGAGCACCGGAACTAAATTACTTTTGACATCACAGGACCCGTTGATACGACAAGGTAAGAAAGTTACAGAACCTCTGCACAGGAAAATGCCCCTTTCTTTTCTCTCTCTCTCCCTCACCCATCTGTCTCTCTCACATACACACACACCCTGCATACAATTTCTAGGTTAAGAGTTTCAGCCCTTTAAAAAACAAAGGGAAAGCTCTTTTTTTTATGGATGAACGCCAGTTACAAACGTAGACAGGATGTTAGAGGCAGGAGTGAACATTCTGCACCTCCCAATGTAGTCACTGATTTTCGGCAAGGATCAGCAGTGAATGCTAACAACACTGAAGCAAAACGACTGTCAGGGAACAGGGCATCCGTTTGTTCTCACGGTATCACCCCTACTGATAATCTATTCATCTCCAAGGAAAAAATGTACTTGTATGATGGGCAGACTGGGCATCCATCCCCTTAATCAAGTGAGAGTGGGCTGACCTGGCATTATGTACCTTGAGCTACACGATATCTATATGTACTCTTGCCAAAAATATTTTACCTAAGCCCAGTCATTAGCAAACAGATACACCCAGAATACGGGACATTCTGTAAGACAAGTGGCCTTGGCTCTGAAAAATCCACTGTCATAAAAATAAACAAAAAGAAAGGAGGGTTTTTTAAAAAAAGACCAAACAGATGTAATAGCCAAAAGTAAAGCATAAAACGTCACGGGCGCCTGTGTCCCTGCCCCCCTCCCCCGCCCCCAGCCAAGGAACTTTATGGTGTTTTGGAGACATTTGGGGAAATTTGAGAAAGGACTGCACACTACTGCATGAAAGTACACTTTCTCAGGTTGACAGCAGTGCCGTGGCTATATAGGAGAATGTTCTTTTTCTTAGGAGATACAAGCCAAAATGTTTGATGTCTACACCTTTCTTTCAAATGGTGCAGCAAAGAAAAAGAAAGAAAGCGAGCTAGCTAGCTATTCAAAGGCAAAGTAAATGTGGCCAAAATTTAGCAATCAGTAACTCTACAGGCTGAGCACAAAGTCTGGAAACATGGCAATTTTCTTTTTTTTACAGGTCGAAGATGTCCTCGGTGACATTGCAAATACTTGCTCTTCCCAGACTGTACAAACACCCCGCGGCGAAGGCTAGTGCTTTACACCGAACTATGCTTTTAACTTTTCTGTAGGCTTGAAATCTTTCAAAATGGAATGTACAGTGGGGGAAGGAGCCCTCGGCCCTATACTAAGGCTCGGGTCCCCACATCAGGATTCTACCCTCCAGGGAAGGAGGCTGGACAAAAGAGAAGACCAAGGTCAAGGCGGGCTCACTGGGTTTCTTCGGCTGTTTAAATAAAACCGGGCGAACGTTTCTGTAGGTAAAAGGCCAGGGGAAAATTACCAGGCTCTGGGTGTTTCCTGAATTCTCCCCTCCCCTTTTCTCTGCTTAGCTCCCCCCACCTTCACTCTCTCTCGAGGAAAGGGCTGTAGAGGGGAGGGGAGCGGGGGACGCAGGAGGGTCTGTGGGGCTCTGGCACCCGATATAACGTGGTTGCCCAAAGAGAAAGAGTGAGGCCTGCTCTGATCCTTCCCACGGTCCTCAGAGTCCTGCAGGCCGCTGCACTGGATGGACGCACGGGTCCACCAGCACACGTCAGGCTCTCTCTGTCCCTGCCCTATGTCGTAGGGGCTAGAAGCCTGAGAGCTAGAGTTCTCAGAATCTCTTGCCAGCCAGGATTTGCTTTAGAGCCCACTAACAAGAGGCACTTGCAGAAACCATTACTCCTTCTCTGGCGGTGGTGGGTGGCCCTGATGCCAGTTCCCAAACCAGAAATGTCCTCGCATGCGCCTCGCTGTAGCCATGCCCCTGGGGATGCCAAGGCCGGGTAATGACTGGTGCTGAGACGGCACCTGCCAGTGGAGAGCGTCAGTCCCGCCCCCGAAGCCCACCTGGCATGGTCCTGGGACACAGGAGCGTCTGGTCATCCTCCTTGCACAGGGGAGGGGGTTCTCTGCTGCCAGGCCTCTTGGAGTCGAGGCAGGAGGGTCAGCAACAGAGAGTCCAGCACAGCCAGACCCTCCCAGGAACACCGAAGACCCCTGGAAAACCAAGAGGCCTCGGCGTGACCGCCTCGTCTTACCAATTTCAATCCTCGCTGTCCAGCGGTACGAAGCACCCAGCACCCACCGGCCCCTCCTCGTCGGTCCTTTTCCCTCCTGGGCCTGTGGATCTGTAGTCAGGGCTCCCTGGGCCTCCTGGCACTAGGCCCCCGCCCCCCACAACACACCTGTGATCCAGCAGCAACAGGCCCTGAGCCAGCTGTGCCTTCACCTCCCGGCTTGCTCTAAACACGTCCCAGAGGCTCAGCTGGGGCTCAAACTGCTGCCAGTGCTGGGAAACCAGAAGGGTGAGGGGTGCAGAGACCATGGCAGGTAGCTGGCCAGGCTACTCTGGTCCCATGTCTGGGGGTGTGGTAAGGGCAAGGGAGGGTCCGATCTGCACAGGGATCTCTGCAATGACTCATGCACATCTAGAGCCCGGGGACGGGCGGGCTCTAGTGTGGCCCTAGCCCAGGGTCCTCACCACAGTCCGACCCTGCCCACTGTTTCTGCCCATCAGGCCTTGGCTGGGCCAAGGCCAATTTCCAGTTACCCGCCCCAGAGAACCAGGTGTGTGTCTGTGCCCGTGTGCATGCACAGAAGGGAGAGTGATTCAGCAGGACTTAGGAGAAGAAATGGTGTGCCACAGCCCCCCCATCCCCCCTTACCTGGTGAGTGATCCCCACATCTGTACGTAGCCCCATGGCCAAAACTTCCTCTAGCCTGAGAGAACAACCATCAGGGTGTCCTGGAAAGGAGACCTGGGCCTCCCCCCGTTCTTAACACACATACAAGGACATGCAGGATGGGGAGGGAGGGGGCAGGGCAAGGCAGGAAGCAAAGGTGTGCAAGTGGGGACGGCTCTGGGGGTGCAGGCCCCCCTCAGATGCTCACAGCTCCAGCTGGCTCAGGGGGACGCGCCTCCGGGTGCCGTGCCCAAACAGCATCACCTCTTTCATCCAGTTGTCCGGCTCCAGGGTCTGGATCCGAGCCTCCCGGGTGTGGCCCCCAGCCCCCTGGGGCACAAATCGCCCGTGGGCCCCTGGCAACATCAAGCACCACCCCCACTTTAGTAGCAGCCAATGCTGGGTGCTCGCCAGATGTTGAATCAGTGGTTCTCAAGATGTGGTCCCTGGACAAATAGCATCTAATATGCTAGAAATGTAAATCCTTGGGCCCTACTCCAACCAAGCCCGCCCAGTCAGAAATTCTGGACGCGGGGCCCAGCGATCTGCATTTTAACAAGCCCTCCAGGTAATTCTGGTATGCGCTAACAATTGAGAACCACGGTGCCAGGCACCATACCCAGCATCTCAAAATATATATTGAACAGCTCTACAAAGTAGGTATTATTTGTTGCTGCGCTTTATGCAGAAGGAAACAGAGGCTTGGAAAGGTTAATAAGTGGCTCAAGATCACACAGCCGTGACATTCTGCTCCTGAGTCATCCCTTCTTCGGTTCACAGGGGACTCACCCGGCCCAATGCCAAGGTACTGACCGCACTGCCAGTAAGTCCAATTGTGGGTACTGAGCGCCCCCTGCGGGGAGGGAGGGAATAGGCCGTTCAGAGTGAAGAAGGTGGGCCCGTTTCTGCACCTGGTTAGAAGGTCCTAGCTCAGGCCTCGGGAGCAGCCAGCAGAAACCCCCTTCCCCAGAGGGCCACAATTCTCCAGTCCCAGCTTAGCCTGCCTGTTCCCCAACTTCAGCTGTCGGCCCCAGGACTTACATTCCGGGCGAAGTTGGAGACCTCATACTGGCGGAAGCCGGCCTCCCGAAGCATGGCCCGTCCCTCCTGGTACATCTCAGCAGCGAGCTCAGGGTCAGGGGCAGGAAGGGTGCCCCACTGCACCTGGGTGAAGAGTGCGGTGCCCCGCTCCAGGGTCAGCTGGTAGAGGGAGAGGTGGTCGTCACAGCAGCCCAGCAGCGTCCGCAGCTGCCCGAGCCACGGCCCCACCTGCTGGGCCGGCAGCCCCAGCATCAGGTCCACAGACACGCGGCCGGGGAAGAGGCGCCGGGCCTCTGCCAGTGTCTGGAGAGCATCTCTGGCCGAGTGTGTCCGCCCCAGCAGCTGGAGCTCGGTGTCATCCAGGGACTGAGGAGAGAGGGTCAGGTGTAAGCACGGAGGCCAGCTCAGAGGCAGACAGGCACATGTGACCGACCTTACTGAGGACAGGTACACAGGACAGGGCAGGGAGCCGGAACAAGCCACGACCAAGGGTTATGGCTCACTGTGCGCAAAGCGTTTTTTTTTTTTTTTTTAAAGATTTTATTTATTTATTCATGAGAGACAGAGAGAGAGAGGCAGAGGGAGAAGCAGGCTCCCAAGGAGCAGAGAGCCTGATGCGGGACTCGATCCCAGGACCCTGGGATCATGACCTGAGCCGAAGGCAGACGCTTAACCATCTGAGCCACCCAGGCGCCCGTGCAAAGCATTTTTAAACAACGTGTAATGTATCCTTATAATCCTCCGACATTAGCTCTATTTTATAGATAAGAAAACTAAGGTTTAGAAGTGTTAAATGGGGCGCCTGGGTGGCTCAGTGAGTTAAGCGTCTGCCTTGGGCTCAGGTCATGATCCCAGGGTCCTGGGATCCACCCCCTCTCCCCCTCCGCTCATGCTCTCTTGCTTGCGCTCTCTCTCAAATGAATAAAGTCTTAAAAAAAAAGAAAAGAAATGCCAAGTAACTTGCCCAAGGTCATACAAAGTCAGACCTGGAATTTAGGACTGTCTGACTCCAAAGCCGAGAGTGTTTTTAAGTTTTCCTTTTTGAAAAATACTTTAAACCTTTACAAAAATTGAAAGAAGAGTACAATAAAGACCTTCATTTAGATTCACCGAATAACATTTTGCCACATTTGCTTTGTCTCTAAATATACACGTACGTGATTACAATGTTGAATCATGTGGCAGTAAGTTATAGGCCAGCACTGACCAAAAGAATTTTCTGGGATGACAGAGATGTCCTCTATGTGCACTGTCCAATACAGTAGACACTAACCACATGTGGCTATTTAATTTTAAGTTAGTTAAATTTCAGTAATCATATTCCAAGCGTTTACTGACATGTGGTCAATAGTTACTGTACTGGTCACTGCAGATATAGAACATTTTAGTAGAATATGCTAGCCAATGACCAGACGCTAGTGAGCACTTGCAATGTGGTTGCTTTAATGTAATTAACTTAAACACCATACCCTTGTACCCCTAAATACTAAAGTGCACATTTCCTAAGAACAAGGACAATCTCTTACATAACCACAATCCAATTATAGAGTTCAGGAAATGTAACACTGACACACCATTATCTAATACAGAGTCATATTCAAAAGTTGTCCCAATAATGTTCACTGTAGTAACTTCCCCTTGCCACCTGAACCCAGGATCCAACTGGGTCACACATTGCAGTCAGCTCTCATTGTTCCTTTCCCCTCTTTGAGTCTAGATACTCAGCCTTTGTCTTTCATGACATGACATTTTTGAAGAATACAGGCCAGTTTTGAAAACATCTCTTAATAAGTTCTAGAGACTTACTGTACAACACTGTGCTTATAGTTATTAATACCATACCGTACACTAAAAAAATTTGAGGGTACACTGATCTCAGGTTATCTGTTCTTACCACAAAAAAAAGTCTTTTTTTTTTTTTAAAGCTTATTTATTTATTTTTTTATTTAAGTAATCTCTACTGTGGGGCCCAAACTCACGACCCTGAGACCAAGAGTCACACACTCCACTGACTGAGCCAGCCAGGTGCCCCCAAAAAAGTCTTATTTAGATTTTCCTGACGGTTCCTCACAATTAGATTTAGGATATGCATTTGGGGCCAGAATATCTCAGAAATGATGTGTCCTTTTCAGTGTATCCCATCAGAACAAAGCCCTGACCCCAAACTCTATTGTAAGTGGTAGATGTATTAGAAGGGTAGACAATACTGGATATGGATATACCAGGAGTCAACCTGAAAAGAGTATGTTTCTCCCCTACTTAAAAACCTTCAACAAGGGGCACCTGGGTGGCTCAGTTGATTAAGCGACTGCCTTCGGCTCAGGTCATGATCTTGGAGTTCCGGGATCGAGTCCCGCATCCGGCTCCCTGCTCGGCAGGGAGTCTGCTTCTCCCTCTGACCCTCCCCACTCTCATGCTCTATCTCATTCTCTCTCTCAAATAAATAAATAAAATCTTTAAAAAAAAAACAAGCAGCCTTCAACAAGTCCCTTATCACCATGAGGCAAAAAAACCAAACTCCCTAGTATGATGCTCAAGGCTTTTGGGCCCTACATCGCAGCCTTGCCTCCCGCCTCTCCAGTGCCAGAATGACTCATAGCTCCCCAGAACGTGCAAGACTCTTCCATATCCTGTGTCTTTTCCTCCCACACCCTCTCGCCTGTGGAAGTCCTCCTCCTCATCAAAGATCACCTCCTCCAGGAAGGTGTCCAGGATTTCATCAGCCTGAGATGCCCTTCGCGCTGTACTCTGAAAGCCTTTTGTTGAGAGCCCTTTATTGGCAGCCCTCACCATGCTGCAACGATCTGATGACCTGTCTGCCTCCTCCTGTGTCTCCAATCATGTAACAAAAATTTTTGACTGTCTACTCTGTGCCATGCACTATGGTGGGTACTTGGAATACTGCGATTAAAAAAAAAAAAAGGCATGCATGATCCCCGCCTCATGGAGCCTGGGGGCTAGCACGGCAGCAATTAAACACAAGTGTTACCATACACTTTCCAGTGCCTACTGGGCCCTGGCACCCAGAGGAGCTCAATAAATGTTTGCCCAATTAATGAATGTGACCAGAGGAGAGACAGCACTGACGGTCTGGGTGCCCTGGGATGCGGTGGGTGAGATGGGCTACCTGGAGGCCGATGGACAACCTGTTGACCCCTGCAGCCCCAAAAGCTGCCAGCCTGGCTCTGGGGGTCGAAGTGGGGTTGGCCTCCAATGTGACTTCGGAGTCTGCAGGCAGGTGAGCTGCCTGGTCCACCGCCTCCAGGACAGCAGCCACAGTGCTGGGACTGGCCAGACTGGGGGTGCCCCCTCCAAAGAACACAGATTCCACCCTGGGGAAAGAGGGTGGAGAAGATGAGACCTGGGGGAGCCCTCCGGGACGCCTGCACCGGTCCTAGCTGCTCCCTCCAAACAACTTCTAAGACCCCGCCTACAGCCCCAGCACCGACCTCCGCACCCCGCTGAGTCGCAGCAGCGTCTGAGCCTCGGTCACCAGACAGCTCCGCATGGCTGCCTCCTCCACGCCGCGGGGGATGTATTTGTTGAAATTGCAGTAACTGCAGCGCTTCTCACAGTACGGCCACTGGGGGGCAGGGGTGGATGAGCGGGGCGCGGGGTGACCCCAGCGGCCCTCGCCGTTTGCAGGGTTCCGTCTCACACATCCCCATCCCAAAGTCCTCAACAACGGCTACACCATCTAAGCCACACAACCCCCCAGGGCAGGTGAGACAGGGAATATTATGCCCACTTCATTAGGAGAAAACTGAGGCTCCTGAGGAAATCACTCGGTCAAGGTCACCGAACTGGTGAGCACCAGCGACTTCAGGTCTCCGATCCGGGTCGTTTCCTTGCCCGAGGACCGCGTCCCGTCCCAGACCTCGTCTGCGGGCCGGGACAGACGGAGGTGGCTTCACGGCGCGACCAGCCGCCACGTGGGCCCCGCTCCGCCGCCCCCGCCCCCGCCCCACTCACGTGCACGTAAAGCGCCGCGCGCGAGCTCAGGGGCGCACGACTCGAGGGTCCTCTCGCGCCCTCGGCGTGGCGGCGCCTCTGGGCAATTTTGGCCGCTGCCGCCCAGCCGCGGGCTCGGGCCCCGGGGAGCGCCATGGCGCCCGCTGCGGCGGGGAGCGGCCCGGTGCGCCGGGAGATCCAGCCGATACGCGCCCGGGGCGCCCGGGAGTGCGCGGAGCCGGGCCCGCTGGGCCGCCCCCCGGCGGAAGGAAGAGGGGCTGCGTGACCGCCGGCCGCGTGTCCGGACGGGCCGCCTGGGCCCGGGGGCCTCGCTGCTGCGGCGCCACCTGCTGGGCACGGACGCGCTCTCCGCAGCCGCCTGTCGGTCCCTTGCGGGGGGCGGGGGCCCGGTTGTGGGCTGAGCCGCCGTCCTTTTTTCACCCTGTCCGAGGGCGAGCTCCTCGACCCATCCAGGACTTCTTAGTCCGTTCACTCACTTCCTTCACATTTTACGTGCCTGGCTCAGGGCTGGGCACTGGGGACATCTAGGTGCGTAAAACCAGGTCGTAGTACGGGTGCTTAAGACAGGAGAGAGACAAACCAGCAAGAGCGGGCGACAGATCATCAATTCAGCACCTGCTGGATACCAGGGCAGTGTGCTCTGTGCTGTGTGGCCGGTCTGTTACAAGGGCCGTGGAGCCAGTGGGGGAAGGAGAGGGCACCTTGGGCTGGATGTTGAAGGTGCAGAAATTCCCAGGGGGCAGCCGGCTTGGCCAGGAGAGTAAGCTGTTATCTCCTGGGTCAGGCCAACCTGGGCACCTGCTGGGAGAGTCAAAGATGGTGTATGTATGAGAGACGAGGTGCAGGTGAAAGGCTGGAGAAGCAGGCACCTGAAGAACTGTTTGATAAAGTGGAATGACTGTGGGCTTTGGAGCCAGACATCTGGGTTCTAATTCCAGCTGTGTGGCTTTGGGTAAGAATCTGAACCTCTCTGAGTTTCCGGGTCTCACCCTTTGTGAAATTGGGCTAGTGCCTACTTGGCAGGGTTGCTGGGAAAATTTCAAGAGAAAATGTGTATGAAAGCACTTAGCATAGTTTCTGGCACTGGGAGCATCCTAAAAGTAAATTTTCTGAATTTTCTGAAAAGTAAAGAGGAGGCTGCTGCTGGAGGGGGCAGACACACTGGGAGGTACGTATGGAAAGCAGCAGGAAAGCTTTGGCCTCCGTGAACTAGAAACTGATGTGCCTTTTGGAACCCAGCTGTTTTTATTTCTTGCGTCAAGCTCCAGCATGCTAGATCTGGCCCAGCCCATCAAGGAAGCCCCAGGTTCATCTATTTTAAAAAAAAAAAAAAATTGGGTTGGTTTTGGCTTGGGCAGTGGAATAACAGGATGTGGGATGATAGCTAAAGGGTATGGAGTTTCTTTTTAAGGTGATAAAGATGTTTAAAATGGACTTTGGGAAACAAATGTAACATTGTGTGTCAACTATACTTCAATGAAAAAAATTGACTTACGGGTTGATTGCACATATCTATGAACATACTAAAAACCATCAAATAGGATACTTTTAATGGGTGAATTGGATGGTATGTGCAATTTTATCTTAATAAAGCATTTATTGTTTTGGGGCGCCTGGGTGGCTCAGATGGTTAAGCGTCTGCCTTCAGCTCAGGTCATGATCTCAGGGTCCTGGGATCGAGTCCCGCATCGGGCTCCCTGCTCCTTGGGAGCCTGCTTCTCCCTCTGCCTCTCTCTCTCTCTGTCTCTCTGTCTCTCATGAATGAATAAATAAAAATCTTTAAAAAAAAATAAAGCATTTATTGTTTTAAAGATTTAATTTATTTGAAAGAGTGAAAGAGAGAGCATGCACAAGTTGGGGGGGAAGGGCAGAGGGAGAGGGAGAAGCAGACTCCCCGCTGAGCAGGGAGCCCAATGCGGGGCTGAATCCCAGGACCCCAGATCGTGACCTGAGCTGAAGGCAGATGCTTAACTGACTGAGCCACCCAGGAGCCCCAGCTTTTATTGTTTTAAAAGGAATACTTCTTGCTGGACTAATCTGACAACAATGTGAAAAAGCAATGAGTATACCTTCAAAAAAAGAATTGGGTTGGTATCTCAAAGGGATCGAATGAGGATTAAATTAAGTAGATAATGCACGCCAAAGTGCTTAGCACTATCGTGACAAGGAATGCGAGGTCTGAAAGTGCCTCGTCCTTTCTCCATCCCAGAGCGGCTGCCAAGAGAGCACGCCAGCAAGAGACGAACCAAAGAAAACAGAGAAGCTCTTTATGCCAAATCACAAAGACAGACGGGAGTGTGGGGGAAGGGCAGGGAGGGCCTGGGAGGACCCCCAGTCCCTTATTCACAGGTTTAGATGTTGTTCCATCTGCTCTCGAAGTTTGAATTTCTGGATCTAGAGGAAAAAGAACAGAGTGAGAGCCAGGCTCGGGGCCTCTGCCAGCAACAGTGACCAGCTGGCTTGGTTTGCCTGAGACTGGGGAGTTTTTTAGGGTAAAGCCAGGAAAGTTTGGGACAAACAGGGATGAGCTACTTGGTCACCCTACTGCCAGCCTCTGGACAGACTCTTTTGCCCACTGCTGAGGGAGGCATAGGTGGGGCCACCTAGGCCTTCTGGGAACCTAGGACCCCAGGCCACCCTGCCCCTCTCTGGTCCCTTTACACACCTTTCCTGAGACGGTGAGGGGGTAGTTTGTGACAAACACGACATATCGGGGAATCTTGAAGTGGGAGATCTGCAGACCAGAGGGAGATAAAGCGTGAGGCTGGGCGAGGTCATAGGTTTAGGGAGATGGGGTGCAGGTGAAACCTGGGACAGTGGGACCGTGGGCGGGCTGGCTGGCAGGGAAAGGGGGCTGAAGAACGAAATAACATCAGCTTGGGGCGGGTTGAGGCTCCCACCTTCCCTTTGCAGAAAGCCTTGATCTCCTCCTCCGTAGTCTTTTCTCCCTTCTTCAGGCGAATGCAGGCACAGACTTCCTCCCCCATCCGGTCATCCTTCACTCCCACCACCTTCCCGAGCCAGAGACATGTATTAGATACTGCCACGCCCATCCCCGGTTCCTGTTCCTGGGGACTCACCTGGGCTGGGTGCCTCACCTGCACTTCCTGCACCTGCGGGTGTGTGTGGAAGAAGTCCTCGAGCTCCGCGGGGTAGATATTCTCGCCGCCCCGGATGATCATATCCTTGGAGCGACCGACGATCTTGCAGAAGCCCTGCTTGTCCATCACGGCTATGTCTCTGTGAGGAAAGCCCAGGAATGGCCTCTCACCTCTGCTTCCTCTGACTGGCTTGCTCCCTTATTCGTCAAACATTTATTGAGCACCTACTGTGTGTCTCGCACTGCTCTAGAGTCTGGGGGATATGGCACGAACAAGACATTCTGTAGATACGCTTTTCATGGAGGGTTTCTTTTTTTTTTTAATCAATCGGGTCTCAGTTCAAACATGTCCACCTTACAGAGGCTTTCTCTGATCACCCCCCCCAGTCTAAGAGAAGTGCCCCTCTTCACCACTGCCACTTTCTTTCCTCTGACCCTATTTGACTGTCTTCATGGTGTTTAGACAGGCGGAGAGTAAGAGCAGGACTCTCCTCCTCTTGTCTCCCCTCGGACCGCCAGTGTCCAGAACTAGCGCTGGCCCTGGGAGGCGCATGATGAGAACGTGTTCAAGGGACAGATGAGTGAGTCTTGGCTCCGATTTTGCAGACACCGTTCTCCCTGTTGTAGTTTAATGTTTCCAGCTCAGCTTCAGGCCACCCGGCCCCAGCCCACCCCCGCCGGCCCCACCCTCTCCGAGGCTGCCTCCTCACCCTGTCCGATACCACTTGTCCTGTCCAATCGTCTCCTCGGTCTTCTGGGGCTCGCCCCAGTAGCCCAGCATGACGCAGTACCCTCGGATGCACAGCTCTCCGGGCGTGTTCAGCTCCACCAGCGTCCCTGTCTTCATGTTCACAATCTGGGCCTGGGACGAGAGCAGCCTCAGGCTGGGGCCTCCTGCCTCACCTCAGGAGGGAGGGGGGGCCCTCGGGGATGGGGGTGGGAGCAGGAGTTTTGCTTTTCCATCCCCTGGCTCTGCCCATCCTGATCCAGGGAAGGGGGCGGATCCCCCAGCAGCCAGACACGTGAGCTGGGCTGGAAGAAGGGTGCAGGCAAGGAGGTGGGCAGGGGAGGAGGGGGCGGCCGCTGGTGCAGTGGACGAGGCCTGTGGAGGGCCAGGCCAGCTGAAGAATTACAAACTCTGCAGAAGAGAAGGGAGTCTCCTCTTATTTCCCATCAAGCAGTGACTAAGGAGGCCAGGGAGCTGGCGTGGCAGGGCCATGGGGACAGGAGAAGGCAGAGAGGCAGAGTCGGAGAGCCCTAGCACAGAAAGGAGCCACAGCCAACGTGCAAGGAAAGCCTGGTCTGTGTGCCTTGGGGGGCTGCATCTGGGAAATGGGGCGAACTCTGCTTGCCCCTGTCTACCTCGCAGGTGGGCACCCCGGCGAGTGGCAGTGAGACTGTAAGACACCTGGGAAGGGGCTAATGCCACTGCACCCTCGCCCCATGGAGCGGGGCAGGAGCCGTCCGCCCCAGGATGGTGGCGAGCCTCCAGGGAAGGGCTGCGTGGGCAGTGACCCCAGAAGGGCCAGGGCACGAGGAGGCAGGGGAAACCAGGTGCAGGCTGGCATCAAGCACCCGTGTTGGGGCAGGCAAGCAGCCACAGCTGGGAATTTCAGAGGGAGAGATGCTCTGGGTCAGCGTTCAAGGTGCAAGGGGCCCTCCGAGGGACGGGCTGCTTGGGAAATGGAGTGTTTATGCCAAGCAAACAGAGGAGCTCTGCGGAAGGCGGGACGGAGCAGGGGGTAGGCTATGGGAGAGAAAGAGCTATGTAGGAAAAATCTCTGCTCTGGCTCCTCTTTGAGGCTGTCCTGGCTGCCCTGAGACAGACAGTGGGGCTTGGCAAAAACACACCTCAGACAGGAAGGGAGGCTGCAGGGTTCAGCCGGCCGCTGCTCACGGCCAGTGCCCAGCTCTTCCCTCTCAGGCCTCAGCCCACGGAAAAAGCCCCAGGCCAGGCCCAAGGACGACCCCGCTGCTGGGCTGCTGGGGGCCTCTCAGCACCTCGAGGGAATGTACGGCTCTCTAATTGAAGGCAATAAACGTCCCCAGGGAATGGACCCAAGTTGAGTGATAGGAGGTGGGGTCTGAAGGGCTGGGGCTGGGGCTGACCTCTGTGTGAGGCATAATTCTGCCCACACTTTCTGCCTTCCGCTCCACAGTGTCCTCGGTGAAGTTCATGAAGGTCACAGGACTATTCTCAGTGGTTCCGTAAGCCACCTAGAGGATTGGGGGAGGGTGTTTGGAGGGAGCCCCGGGGCTGCAGAGGGGAGGGCGAGCTACCCTGGGGGAATGGGAAGGGACCCAGGAGAAAGTGGAAGGCAGCTGAGTGGTGGGAACTGAGGCATTTGGGCAGAGGGCAGGGGTCCTGAGGCAGAGGCCCTGGGGTGCTGAGCTGACTAGCTCAACTAGCAGGGTCCCAAGGTCTGAATTAAAATTGAGAGCAGGGAAGCCATTCTTTTCCAGCCAGCGCTGTTTCCCTGCTTCCTGGACCAGCCACATACCCGAGCCTGTGGTTCCCTGTGTTACCGATGCCCTTGCGTTCACTCCCTCAGCCCCAGGCGGTCTTAGCACCCTCTTCCTGATCTCAGACCACAACATCCCCTGCCCCTCCCTTCCAAACTAAAGGTCTCATAAACTTGATGAGAAAGCCAGCCCACCTGGGCCCAGCTGGGAAATGTACAGATACAACCCACCCACCCACCCGAAACCTGGGATCAATGCCTGGCCTTGGGGTGGGTGATCCCCAAGCTTTGGAGAGTTTCCTGTAAATTTACCTCCATCAAAATGCAAAATGTAGCCAAAGCAAGGGTTTAAAAGCCAGTGGCACCCTCACCACCTAACACTCCTAGTGGTTGGAACATCCTGAGCAACAGAAAACCAGAAGCCAGCCTTGGAGGAGCCTTAAATACCACCAGGGAATGTTCTGAGCCAACTATGACCCCCCTCTAGAGGCAATGGGTGAAAGGAGCTTGGAGAGGGACTAGCTCCTGATCAGCAAAGACAACAGACCTTTGTCCACCCTCCACCCCACCCCCAGTTTCCTCTGTGTTAGCTGGCACACTGCTGGGGGCTAGCCCCGCCCCTCCCCCTCTCAAACACAGACAACAACCCCTGCTGGGCAACCCAGATCTCAGACCCTGCCTGCCTCCCTTCCCCTTTCCACAGGAATCCGGACACCGTGGCTGGCAAGTGGACACACAGAGATCTGGTCAGCCGCGCCAGGACTGCCCACAGGACCAGAGCCAACCAGGGCTGGTCCCTGGTAGCCAGGACCTGACACCGCCCCCCCCCCCCCATAGTCCTGGGGCCACTGCCCAGGTGTGGCCTCTGCCAAGTACAGCTTGGCGCCACTCTGGCCGCCACCCTGAGAGACCCCTCAGGGGCAGGTCTTGACCACTGGGGGTGGGGGATGAGGAGATGAAGATATTTTAGGGAGATGACGGGTGGGGAGAGGGGTGGGAAGGGGGGAGATGGTGCGACTGTGCTCTTTCAGTTGTCCCACTCGGGGCCTGTGGTCGTCAGGTGTGTCTGTGAGTTCTGCGGGTCGTCCCCCACTCCCCGCCCCTGTTCCCACATTTCTGGTTAGCCCTCAACCGTGAAAAACCGGGACAGGAGTGCCGGGGCCAGAAACTCAAGCCCGGGGCAGGGAGAGGGGGGCGGAGGAGCAGCCCCTGCGACGACGGGGAAGGAGCGCTCATCTCCTTAGGGTTGGCCCGCTGTCCAGCCGGAAGGGGGAGCCCGCCGCCAGCGCGGCTCTCACGCTCGGCGGGCGCCGCACAACGGTGCCATTAAAGCGCCGCCGGCCGGCCGACCGCGGCGAGACTTGCGTCCGGCCGTCCGGCCCCGCTTCCTCCCTCCCCGGGGCCAGGGCGCCGCGCCGAGTGTGCGGGGGGTGGGGGTGGGGGGGCGGTGGCATGGGGGCGCGAACTTGTGCAAACAAGTAAGTTCGGGAACGCCTCCCTCTCCGGTGTAAACTCGGGGCTCTGGAGGCACCCGTACGTCCAGCCCCCAAAGGATGGGGAAAGGAGGTGGGGGATCGGGAGGGAGGCAGGATCGGAGCGCAGGGAGAAAGGGGGCCGGGGCTCCGGGACGAGGCCCCGGGGAGTCACGGCCCCGGGGGCCCCCGCACGGTCCCCAGCTGGGGGCAGGGCCCCACCCCTCCCCGTCGAGGGCGGGGGCGCATCTCTGGGCGGGAGGGAGTTAAGCCCGGTGGCCTGGATGCTCCACGTAGGAGCTGGCTCCAGCTGCCGGCTGCGGTCAGGGCCACCGTATAAAGAGGGCGGGAGCCCGGAGCGCCGGGAACTTGCCGCTGCCCGCGCCCCGCCGCCGCTGCCCCCCAGGCCCCGGCCCCAGGTGTCCCAGCCATGGCCCGTCCGATGCTCTTGCTCAGTCTCGGCCTCCTGGCCGGCCTCCTGCCGGCACTGGCCGCCTGCCCCCAGAACTGCCACTGCCACGGCGACCTGCAGCACGTCATCTGCGACAAGGTGGGGCTGCAGAAGATCCCCAAGGTGTCAGAGAAGACCAAGCTGCTCAACCTGCAGCGCAACAACTTCCCGGTGCTGGCCGCCAACTCGTTTCGGGCCATGCCAAACCTCGTGTCCCTGCACCTGCAGCGCTGCCAGACCCGCGAGGTGGCGGCCGGCGCCTTCCGCGGCCTCAAGAAGCTCATCTACCTGTACCTGTCCCACAACGACATCCGCGTGCTGCGCGCCGGCGCCTTCGACGACCTGACCGAGCTCACCTACCTCTACCTGGACCACAACAAGGTGACCGAGCTGCCCCGGGGGCTGCTCTCCCCGCTGGTCAACCTCTTCATCCTGCAGCTCAACAACAACAAGATCCGCGAGCTGCGCGCTGGCGCCTTCCAGGGCGCCAAGGACCTGCGCTGGCTCTACCTCTCTGAAAATGCACTCAGTTCGCTGCAGCCCGGCGCTCTGGACGACGTGGAGAACCTCGCCAAGTTCCACCTGGACAGGAACCAGCTGTCCAGCTACCCCTCGGCGGCTCTCAGCAAGCTGCGGGTGGTGGAGGAGCTGAAGCTGTCCCACAACCCCCTGAAAAGCATTCCTGACAGTGCCTTCCAGTCTTTCGGCAGATACCTGGAGACCCTCTGGCTGGACAACACCAACCTGGAGAAGGTGAGCTGCTGGCCGCAGGGCTCTGCCCTGGCTCCTCTTCGGCCTCGAGGCGCCGCGGGTCCGGGGCCACGGCTGGGCACCATCCCTTCTCCCCTAAAATTGCTTCTGTCTCTCTGGCTAGCTCCAAGGTGAGGAGCTCTGCCACCTCTGTCCCTCATCTTGCCTCATCCGCACCCTAAAGCCTGCCCTGCTGTCCCTGTCCCTAGTCTAAGCCACTGCCCTCCGAGGCTTCCCACTTATAGACGGAGCTGGGGCTGCCCTGGCCCCAGCGATGGCCCCTAGGAGGCATGTCCAGTGCTCCCGAACCCCCTGCTGTGGGCAGGAGCCCCCTCTTCCTGTTGGGCCGTCCATCCCTCCTCTGCTGTATTTTTCCTGTCTCCAGTAAACCTACCACCCCATAAAGGAAGGTTTGTTTATTGAGAAGTTTTCCAGAGGAGCTGGGCAAATCAGGCCCACAAAGAGACCCTGTTCTTGGTGGGGGGGGGGGGGGTCCATGTGTGCTGAGGTGGGGTGGGGGGCTGGGGGGTGAGGGGAAAGCAAACAGCCGAGGAAGAAGACCTCCTCCATGTCCCCCAGAGGCCCTGGCGAATGTCCTCCCTCTTCCCCAGCTCACACACATCCACACCGCACTGCATTCCCAGGTCCATTTCAGCTGAGTGGGGCCCAGGAACCAGGGGCTTCCCCAGGTTGCAGGGAGGGCACTCAGGGGCTCCATGAAGGGGCAAAGGCGAGAGCCACATAGCACTGTCAGCCTTTGGCACAAGACTCCAGGTGTCTCCCCACGGGGAAGACTGGCTGTGCCTCACTATCCCCCAGACCACTGATGGCCCTTTGCCCACCCTGGTCACCAGACCCATCTCCCGGCTGCAGCCTTGCTCAGTCCTTTCTGCGCTGTGATACCCAGATGGGGCTGCCCGGGGTTGGGGCGGAATCCCTCCTCGGGACTGGAAAATCACTCTGTGTACAGGGGCTTCGGCCAGGAGGTTTGGGTGGGGACCAGGGCAAGGTGTAGAAGACCGTCATCAGAACAGTCTGGTTCCAGGGAACTTCACACCCCTCCCTGAGCCACAGGCACAAGGATGAGGGCAGAACCATACCTGGATGGCAGCCAACCTTTGTCTAGGGGGGGTGGTGGAGCCCACCCGTCTTCAGCCCCGGGCCCCTCCAGAGATAAAGTCAGAGTTCCCTGTGGCCCACCAGTGCCAGAGTGGCCTTTTAGTGGGGAGCAGGGACTGATCTGGGGCAGGGGAGGCCAGGCAGGACTGTGATGCCGGGGCCAAGATGTGGGCACCAAAAGAATGTTTCCTCTGGAGCCATCCAGCCTGGCCAAAGGCTCCACCAAGGAGGCTCCACAAATAGCCTCTGGCAAGCAGTGAGGACAGAGCTGGGGGAAGTCCCAGGACCCTGGGGCTGCGGGGAGCCTGGGCCCATTGCCCACCCCACCAAACACTGACCAGCTTCACCGGGTGCCAACTCGGGCCGCTGGAGCCCAACTCTGGCTGCCTCCCCGGTCCCAGTGTTTGTGCAGGGAGCGTGGTGCCAGGGGAAGAGGAGCTGGGTGTGGTCCTGCCGCTACTGTTTACTTGCTAGTGTGACCCTGGGCAGGAGACTTGACAACCCCCTCCCGCCCCCCCCTCCCCCCGCCCCATCTGCATTTTGGAAATACAAGCACCTATCTCAGTAGGATCAGATCATCTGAGACAACCTAGTCACGCTGAAACTCCTCAAGGAGCCACTGACCTCTGGGACCATAGGGCTGGGAGAGGCTGGACCCTGGGGCTGGGGGGGCTCACTCCTGTCTGCCTCACTCCCCAGTTCTCGGACGGTGCCTTCCTGGGTGTGACCACACTGAAACACGTCCATCTGGAGAACAACCGCTTGAACCAGCTGCCCTCCAACTTCCCCTTTGACAGCCTAGAGACCCTCACCCTCACCAACAACCCCTGGAAATGTACCTGCCAGCTCCGGGGTCTTCGGAGGTGAGAACAGCCCCCTGCAGCCCCCCAGAATGCGCTCTCATGGGACGAAGCGGAGATACCCTGGCCCCGCATGGAGACATCAGGGCCATATGTCCTAGATCTGCTACCTAGTAGGTGTGGGAGCCTAGGAGTTTGTCACACGAAGATGACGGTTCCAGGCCATCCTAGAGATAAGTCCATCCTGGCCCCCTGGCTCGCTGTCCCCTCCCTGGGCACTCCCACATCTCTCCCCCAAGCCCAGCGACTCTCTGTCTCTCTAGGTGGCTGGAAGCCAAGACTTCCCGCCCTGATGCCACTTGTGCCTCGCCCGCCAAGTTCAAAGGCCAGCATATCCGTGACACGGACGCCTTCCGCGGCTGCAAGTTCCCCACTAAGAGGTCCAAGAAAGCCGGCCGCCATTAAACAGGTGGGGGACGGGTGGGCAGGTCCCCCATTCCCTTCTTGGGGATTCTAGCAAGGGAGGAGAGTGTCCCCACACAGGGGCATGCAGACCCTCCGTTTGTGTAGGGAGAGGAAGGGGAGGACAGGGGCTCGCCTTCTAAAGGGGAAAATGACACTGCCCGGGACTCCCACCATTCTCGGCCAGCCTTGTCTGGGTTGTTGGACTCCTGACACCGAACTTTGCCTCACCACAGGTCCTGACCCAGCCGGTCCTGGTGACTGGCCTCTGCCTTCAGCTGGAGAAACTACTGACCTTCCCACCTCTGACCCCCACCTTCTCCCCACAGCCTCTGCTGGCGCACAGAGCTGTCCACATCTAGACACGTCCTGGCAGGGGGACTCGGGCGCTCCAGCACGAACCCAGCTCCACCTCCTGGTGAGAGCTCCATCACGCCTGGCCCCACCGCCATGGCTCCTCTCAGAGACGCTGTTGCCAAGACCCCAAGTCCTTCAGAACTAGAACAGGGTAGCCATCAGGATGGCCACCCTTCCAGAATCCTCTTTCCCTCTGCTCCCCTTACCTTGCCATTTGGAAACAAACATCAGATCCTTGCCCCACCCTTTGCTTCCAGAAACAGTCTTGAGCCCATACCCCAACTCCGCCAGCCCCCCAGCCCCCACCTGCCAGGACACTCTAGCAGGACACTGGTGCTTTGCCGCATACACTCCCGTGCTGCACTTCTTTCCCAGATTTTCATAAATATAAATTTATGTATATGTAATATTTACTCCCCTGTCACCTATTTCTTTTTTTTTTTTTAAGATTTTATTTATTTATTTTTGCAAGAGAGAGAGTGAGCGAGCATGCATGAGCAGGGAGAGGGGCAGAGGGGGAAGCAGACTCCCCGCAGAGCAGGGAGCCCGATGCAGGACTCGATCCCGGGACCCCGGGATCCTGACCTGAGCCCAAGGCAGATGCTTAACTGATGGAGCCACCCAGGTGCCCCCTGTCACCTATTTCTATGATTGGCCAGCTGCCAATGAGGTCAGACTTTCTGACATCTGCTTTCTGGAATGAGGGCCAGCTGAGAGGGTCTTCCTTGGAGATCTGGTCTGAGCTCCTCCCCACACCCACCAGTTCGCACCCCAGCGCGGCCTGCCCCCTGCCCACAGCCCCAGCCCAGCCTCCGTCCACTCACCACCAGCTCCTTCATGTTCAGCTTGTCAATGATGGCTCGGATCAGCTCTGGGGGTGCAGGGGACCCAGCAATCACACCTGAATCAGAGAGAGGACTGACGCAGCTCCCCACTTCTCCAGGCCCAGTGGACCCCCTTCACCTGCAGCTCCTTCTAGAGAAGAACATTCCCCTCTAATCCTGGACTTATTCCTACACCTGGCAACTGGCCTTGGGCTGGTGTCCAGGGACACTGAGGATTTGCCTCCCTCCCACCCACTTTTCTACAGTGAGCTTTTTGCCCCCTAAATAAAGGACTGGGCACATATCTAGCTCAGCAATCCTGGCCTGGCCACCCTTGGCCCTATCCTACCTCCACGCATGGCCGAGATGTCATAACTGGAGAAGTCTGGCTGGTTCAGAATGTCCACAAACATTGTGGGGGTGCCATACAGTAAGGAGCCTCTGTGTAAGGTGGGGGGGTGTGTCTCAAAATCAGGCTTGGAAGGGGAAGGGAACTCCCTCTTCTCACCCATCCCACCCTGAACCTGCAGTAAGGGCCAAGGCTGCATATATGGGAAACAAGGAGAAGCTCTTTGGAGGCAGGAACTGGTCCTCCCATGGGAGTCTCCCACTACCCCTGGTCTCCATTTCTCTGGGCTGAAGGGAGGAGACAACTCCAAAAGGGATCAGGGCCCAGGAGTGAGGAATAGGAGGGTCTCATCAGCCCCTGGGGGGGCTGCCCACTGATGCCCACCTCTCTTTGCTGATGGCCTCCAGCGCCTTCTTGCCATCAAAGGTCGGAGAGGATAGGATGAGGGTGGCGCCATACATCATGCTCACCATTGTGCCCCCCACAGAACCCAGGCAGTGGTACAAGGGGCTGGGCACGACCATCCGTGATTCCTCCGGCGTCTGGGGTTGGAGGCGGGAAGCCGGTTCTATCCTGGAGCCCAAAGCCCCAGGGGCCAGTTCGTCTAGCCAGCAGGGGGAGCCCAACAAGACCCTCCCCCCCTCCCCGCCCCCTGCAGGGCCTGGGCTAGGCCCCTCACCTTCAGGTGCATCCTCAGCCTTTCCCCTATCAGGTTGGAGTTGTTGACAATGTTGTAGTGGGAGAGGGTGGCCCCCTTGGGTCTGCCTGTCGTGCCCTGATAAGACAAGCAGGTGATGCTTGGCCTCCTGCTCCCCATCTCCTTCCCTGCTCTGGGCCCCTGTGTGGGAGAGCCCTGGAAGAGGGCGTCAGGAGACGGGGACTACTGCCCCAGATCCATTCATTCACTGAACACGTGTTCGCAAAGGTTTAGCATGCGCCTGCACGGTGCCGGGTGTTAGGATCCAGAGGTGTGGAAGGTAAGGTCTCTGTCCTTATGCCACTCATAAGGTTGCTCAGAGGACTCTGTGGCCCACCAGCAGATTCCCACTCTGGGCCTCAGTTTCCTCATCTGCTAAATGAGGAGGCAGATCTATCAGCTCTGGCCTGTGGTGCCAGTGCATCCAGCCCTGGGCTGAGGATGAGAAGGCGAGGGGTGGGGGGCATGTGACAAGGACACCAGTGGCTGATGTGTTCCAGAGCACAGAGGATAGCTAGGGCCAGCCCCAGGAGGAGGGTGTCTGCACTCCGGACCTCCTTGGTCTTGGGCAAGGGTCACAGGGGTGGGCAGGGGGTGGCATGCCAGCCTGGAGACCTCTGCCCTACCGAGGTGAACTGGATGTTGATGGGGTCATGGCAGGACAGGAACTGCTGCTTGTACCGGAGCTGGGCCAGATGCTGCTCTTTGCCTCCAGAGGCCACCACCTCATCCAGGAGCAAGGTTCCCGGCAGAGGGTCATCCACCGAGATGACCGTGGTCAGGTCTGGGAGCCTGGCGGTTGGGAGGGTAGAGAGAGTCAGAGCCGAGGGAGACATGAGCCTCATCCCTGAGGTTGCGGGGGCCAGGGGGCCACACCATGCACCCTTCCCAAGGGGGGACACCCTCACCTCTGACTCTTCAAGTCTCCTGGCTGGGCCTTCTCCAACTCTGGACAGATCTGCTTCAAGATGTGATAGTATTGTTGGGTCTTGAATTGCTTGGGGAAAGCGAGGGCTTTGCAGCCTACCTGTGGAGGTGGAGCCCCGCCCCCCAGCACGGTCAGCGGGGGGCTCCAGGCCGGGGCTCTGGGGTAGTTCTAACAATTACGCTCGCTCACACACACGCACACCACCTCACCCAGGCACTTGCGCCCTGACACACACACACACGTGCCCCCTCAACACACGCACCAGCCTTGCGTCTGACCAACCACCCTCTCCTCCCACCCACACAGACCCAAGCAAGGACAGACTCTGGGTGTCCCCCACCTGTGCATGCCCTCCCTGACCCCCCATCAACCCTCTGGCCGTGCTGGCCAGGCCCCTCCCCTAGGAGCGGGTCCTACCTTCTTGAGGGCATACTCCAGCTCCATAGCCTGATAGGCTGGGTTCACAGAAACCTGGTGGAGACAGCAAGGGGATGTCAGTCAGTGTCTTGGTTCGATCCTGTCCCTCTCGCTGCCCCTCCGTTCTTAGGAGGCACAGAAACACCATGTGGTCGGAGGCAGTGCCCTACACTTCCGGGCCTCCTTGGGGGGCTTCAGAAGAAAGCGCTACCCTCTGGTGGTTTGGGGGCCGAGGAGCTGGGGAGTCCCCCTGAAATATGCACTCCCTACACACTCAGCTGCGCCGGGCAAGCCCCTGCTCACCAGAATGATGCCTGCCTGAGCGGTGGCCAGCTGCATGAGCACCCATGCATAGGAGTTGGGTCCCCACATGCCCAGCCGGTCGCCCTTGCAGAGGCCGATACTCAGGAGCCCAGAAGCAGCTTTGTCCACCTGGTGTAAACAGACAGGGCACGAGGGGTGAGATGCGGGCAAGCAGGAAGAGGCCCATGACTCCCACTGCAGCCTGTGGCCCAGGGGTTCCCATCAGAACCCGCTGGAAACGAGGGACAGGCAGATTCCCGGGCCGCAGTGGGCCTGGGGCTATGCATAGCTAACAAGCATCCCAGGAGGGAGCGGTGCAGGTGACATCAGGTACAGGTGGCCCCTTCTGCCTCAGCCCTGTCCCTGCCATCCCCTGGGGTCCTCAGGCCGCCCCAGCCCCCTGCCCCACAGCCAGCTGCGGCCCCTGCAGCTCTACCCAGCCAGTGCAGCCTGGGGGCTAGCACCTGCCTACTTCGGGGGTTCAAGACAGGGACCCACCTCCTCCTTGAGCTGGGCAAAGGTCAACCTGATGTTTTCCTGGGGGACGACCAAGGCCTCTCTGTCAGGGACCCTCTTTGCTGTGGCTTCCAGGCACTGCCCCACAGTCTCGTGGATAAGACCACGTTTTGTGAGGCCCTGGACGTAGCTGAGGCCTCCAATGGGCAGGGGGATGGTGTTATCCGCCGCTCTGGAACTGTGGGGAGACAGGGTTGTGTGGAGCTGGACTCCATCACGCCAGGCCGGGCCTCTCTGGTACCCAGGGCTGGGAGGGAGGTTGCTTACAACGTGGCAGGGGCTGCTTCAGAAACAGCCCGACCCTGCCCCATCCCTGTCCCCATCCCCAGGACCCAGGACCCAGTAGAAAGGCTGTCATTCTGTAACTCTCAAACTGTACTCAAAACAAAACAAAACAAACAGAACAAAAACCCAAAACAAAACAGAAAACCTATCAATTATTTTAAAAGCAAAAACAGAAAAGGCCCCCAGAACTAAAAGTATCACACGGTCGGCTTAGGCCTGCGTGTGTTTGCTGGCCCCTCTGGGGGACAGGGGCCGTGCTCCCGCTGAGGCCTCATGGGGAGGGGTGCAACAGGTCTCAGACCCTGTTCCCATCAGAGAGGGCATGGTGTGGGGCCTGAGGACCAATGCTGACCACGTGGCGCTGCAGATGCCAGGCTAGAAAGACCATGTGTCTCTTCTGTTGATTGACTGCTTGGGTCTTGTGGGGGAGAACTTCTGGGAAGAACAAGGTATGCAGGGCGGAGGGGAGCAAAACGGGGTTTCCCCACAAACGGGAGAGGAGCCTGCTGCCATCTTGCAGGAGGCAGGTCACGAGGCAGGCTGACGGGGAGGCTGCTCAACCTGGCTGCTTTGGACCAGGGAGCCGAGGATGAGTCCCACAGTGGGGACACCCGCTGCAGCTCTGTGGGGAGTGGGTGAGCACCAGGCTGGCATCGGGGATGGGGGTGGGGGCGTTGGCGGGGGTGTCTGAGCTCTCATCCCAGGTTGCTGCTGGCTGGGTGGGCAACTGTCACGGACACCTTTGGTGTCCCAGGTCACCCCCATGGAGCATCTCTGGTTTCTCCTTGGGATTCTGTCTGCTGCGGGGGGGTTCAATTCTCCCCTTCTGCAGCTGGACAGATCTGGGAGGCGTTTGTCGCTTCTCAGAGGTCCTGGTGGTCAAGCCCTTGCTGCCTTGGCTGTGACCTCGACAACACTCTGTGCTAGCTTCTCTTCTGGTCTCTTGCTCCTCACTTCCGCTTCCAGCAGTACCGACCACGCACAGTCCTCGTTCCCGGGGGAATCCAAGTAAAGACGCAGGGTTTCTCCTCCCTAGGCCTCCGCTTCCCCACCTATGAATAGTTTGAGGATTGGACACACTGGTTATTCTCAGGTGAAAGGGGATATTATCAGGGCGCCTGGGTGGCTCAGTCGTTGAGCGTCTGCCTTCGGTTCAGGTCATGATCCCAGGGTCCTGGGATCGAGTCCCACATCGGGCTCCCTGCTCGGCAGGAAGCCTGCTTCTCGCTCTCCCACTCCCCCTGCTTGTGTTCCCTCTCTCGCTGTCTCTCTCTCTCAAATAAATAAATAAATAAATCTTTAAAAAAAAAGGGGGGGGATATTATCTAAATGATCTGGTTAATCTTCTCTTTCTTTTCTTTTTTCTTTTTTTCAGATTTTATTTATTTGACAGAGAGAGACACAGCGAGAGAGGGAACACAAGCAGGAGGAGTGGGAGAGGAAGAAGCAGACTCCCCGCCGAGCAGGGAGCCTGATGCGGGGCTCGATCCCAGGACCCTGGGATCATGACCTGAGCCGAAGGCAGACGCTCAACGACTGAGCCACCCAGGCGCCCCTTCTTTTCTCTTTTTAAAAAAATTTTTTAATCCTTTTTTTTTTGGTCAGAGAGAGTGCGAGCACAAGCAGGGGGAGCGGCAGGCAGAGGGAGAAGCAGGCTCCTTGGGAGCCCAACGTGGGATTTGATCCCAGGACCCTGGGATCGTGAGCTGAGCTGAAGGCCGATGTTTAACCGACTGAACCACCCAGGCGTCCCTCTTTTTTTAAAAAAAATAGGCTCCACGCCTAGGGTGGAACTCATAACCCTCAGATCAAGACCTGAGCTGAGATTAAGAGTTGGACAATTAACTGACCAAGTCACCCAGGAGCCCAGACCTGGTTAATCTTTTTAAAGGATTGTGGTGAGCCACCTAGGCCACGTAGTTCCTGCAGGTGAGCTGGGGCAGAAAACAGCCCAGAAAGCAGGGCTCTAAGGTCCCATGAGGCCCCACACCCTATCATCCACAGGCTGACAAACCTAAAGAACTGTTGAGCAGATTCCCAATGGTCACTATGACACCCCTCAAAAGGGATCGCATACCCCAAATCCCTACCTCACAGGCATGCAGTCGAGGGCGTGCATGTATGCCCATTGGGAACAAGCATGCTCTTTTTCTTGGGGTTTGCCAAAGTGATGGTTGTAAGAACAAGCATGTGGAGAGAACCTGCTTAAGAACAAACTGAACACAGGGCTAAGTAGGGAGAGAGAGACAGAGACAGAGACAGGAAGACACAGAAACAAACTTCATCGTAAGGTTTTGAATCCCTAGGCCCAGCCACATGTGATGTCTACCTTCCTCTGGACTTTTCACTGCCAAAAGTCAATACATTCCCTCTTTAAATTTAAGCCAGTTTTTGGGGGAAAAAAGCCAAATTCCATTTGTAACAACAAGGATAAAGCTGGAGGATGTGATGCTAAGTGAAATAAGCTATACGCAGAGAGACAAATATTGCATGATTTCACTTATACGTGGAATCTAATAAATGAGCAAACTAAGAATAATCTGCTTTTATTTGCTTACAGCTGGCACATCCTAATATACCTACATTTTTCACATTGAGTGGATGACCAGGGCCCTCGAAGCCCTGGCAGGCGGCCTCCCATAGCCCAGCATCGGGATCAGGAGGCAGCAAAGGGCAAATCTCAGCCACCTTAATGGTTTTGTTGTCAACAGAGCCTGACAACAGGTTTCCTCTTATTCTCACAGTGACCAGGTGTCCTATTTTGTTTTGAACCTGGGTTCCTCCTCATTTGCTGTGGATTTCAGACCAGACGGTATCCTTCTGGAAATTCTAGTTGGTAAGTCAACAGGTTGATTTATGTGCAAAAAATAAATAAATAAAATAAACAAAAAAATAAACCCAAAACAAACAAAACAGAAAACAGAAAAGAAGTCCATTTCAGTTGTCACGTGTATTACATCCCTTATCTTCACGGCAGCTCTGACAGGTGCTGCGACAGAGGCCCCCAGTAAGCCTTGGTCCTTAATAAACCACCCTCTGGGTGTTCAGCTGGCCTTGGCCACATGGACTCCAGACCACATTCCCAAGCTTCCGTCGAAGGTGCTCTGGCCAGGGAGATCTACAGAGAGGTACTGTGTGCAACTTCCCTTACCGGGAAGGAGCATCTTCTCTTTGTTCTTCACTGGCTGGAATGTCATCTGGAAGAGAATGGCAGCCATCTTGGGCCACCTGGTGCGCTCAGACACCGCAGAGCTGACGAGGCTGGAGCTGGACAGCAGGGCCACGGGTTGGCCATCTCCCAGAAAAAGAAACTCCCATCTCCTCGAAGCCACGGTGAGAGGCGGTTTCTCTGACATACACTCAGCAAATCCTGAGAAGTGCAAGTGGGCAGCATGAACTCCCATTCTCCAGGTAAAGAAAGTGGAATGCAAAGAGGCCAAGTGGGCTCCTCGGGCTGGTAGTAGCTGGATCTGCAGCGGAGGACCCTCCCCCCCAAACAAATCGGGGAGAAAAAGTACGTGGGCAATTCTGTTCTTTAGGCTTTGGATGTATTCCCCCAGATTGTTGAATCTCCATTTTATTTTTTTCCCCAATTGTTTACTAATTGATGTCAAGAAACGGGGATTGGAGCAGGGCAGGACTGAAGTGGACACAGGCCACTCCGCCAAAGGACTTAAGAGACCTAGAAACTCTGGATGAATGCCCTTTGCTCATAAACATAAGAACCACCCATCGTTTTGAAACCCCAAGTGCAAACAGAGTTGATTCTACTTCCCTCCTTCCTCAAACACACCCCAAAGGCCTTGGGCAAAAAGAGGGAGCCACTGTTTTTTCTGTTCTTAAACAAAGTGGCAGACATTCCATCTAACCCTGAAAAAAACACTAGAGATGTGCTTTGGGGACAAGTTGTGGTTTTCGTTTGTTATCATTATTTTTTTTAATTTGGGTGGGAAGCGTAAGGAGTTGGAAAAGAGCCAGCAGTCCCTATGGCTCCTAACTCAAAGAACTAAAGTCCGAGAGTCCTCCCCTCATCTGCAGTCACCCACGGTGAAGCAGAGGAACCTCCTTCTGACATTTGGTCAGACGATCAATAGTAGCCTAATGCTGCATCTCATGCCAACGTCATTCACTCGTTTCACCTCATCATGTAGGCATTTATATTGTCTCATGTCCTCACAGAACGGTGAGTATTAAGAGAATAAGATATTTTGAGAGACAGCACATTCACCTAATTTTTATTATAGTATATTGTTATAATTATTCTGTTATTATTGTTGTTAATCTCTTAGGTGCCTAATTGTAAATTAAACTTTCTCATCAGTATGTATGGATAGGAAAAAGCTTTGTATATATGGGCTTTGGTACCAGCTGTGGTTTTAGGCACCCACCGGGGCTCTTGGAACGTATCCCCCATGGATAAGGAGAGACTACTGTCAATATTTAGTGAGGCCTTCAGCTACTTGGGTTGGGCATCGGAAAACATATAAATCAGCCAGGTGGGAGCCATGAACTAGAGACAAAGCCCCACCTCGAAGGTGCCGTCAGAGAGTTGGCACTTGAGAATTCAGGCCCGCATCTGCTGTCAGGAACCGAGGGTTTGTTTTTTGTTTTTTTTGTTGTTTCTTTGTTTTTGTTTTTGTTTTTAAGAATTCTCTTGACCTTTTGTTGTTGGCAACTAATGTGTTCACGGTTTTATCCCCAGTCACCAAATTTAGTTTATGAATCATAAGTAGAGCAACACTAGCTTAAGCCATAGGAGAGTTTTCTTTTAAACTCTGTATTGAAGTATACCTCCTTATAATTCCTTATGTGCATTATTTGGTGACACCTGGAACGTAAGAGGTGCCTGGAACGTAAGAGGTGCTCAGTGGAATGACCAAATGAGTGAATTATAAATAATGCACATAACGGCCCAATTAGCAAATGGGTGAAGCACTTGAATAGACATTTTTCCAAAGAAGATATATGGTCACCAAGCACATGAAATGCAAATGAAAGCCACGGTGAGCTACCATATTGCACCCACTCGGAAGGCTAGAATCAAAAAAACCAAAATAACAGGTGCTGGTGAGCATGTGGAGAAATTGGAACCCTTGGGCATTGCTGGTGGGAATGTAAAATGGCAGCCAATGTGGAAACCAGCTTGGTGCTTCTCCAAAAAGTTAAACATAGAGTTACCATATGACCCAGCAATTCTGCTCCTAGGTGTCAACCCCCCAAAATTGAAAACAGGTGCTCAAATGCAGACTTGTACATATATGTTCATAGCAGTACTATTCACAAAATAGCCCAAGATGAAAACAACCCAATGGTTCCAGCAACGGATGAATAGATAAACAAAATGTGGAATATCCATACAATGGAATGTTATTTGGCCATAAAAAGGAAATGAAGTATTAATACCCACTACAACATGGATGAACCTTGAAAATATTATAAGCAAAAGAAGCTAGACACAGAAAGCCACATAAGGTATAATTCCATGCATATGAAATGTTGAGAATAGGCAAATCTATAGAGACAGAAAGTGGGTTACGTGATTGCTTAGGGCTGAGGGGAGGGAAGGATACAGAGGGGATAGCTAAGGGTATGGGGTTTCTTCCTGAGGTGAGGAAAAGGTTCTACAATTGACTGTGGTGATGGTTGCACAAATCCATGACTGCACTAAAAACTACTGAATTGTACACTTTAAAAAACAATGTGGATAATTCCACTCCTGAGGATATATCCAACAGAATTCATGCATATGCTCACCAAAAGACAGGTACGAGGATTTCTGTGTTATCTCCAATATGGAAACTACCCAGATAAATGCATGGTGATTTACTATTTGCCTTGTTATATGGTAACGACAGCAAAAGAACCATGACTATACCCAACAATATGAACGAAACTCATAAAGAGAAGTTAAAGAAGTCAGATAGAAAAAGGTATATACTGTCGGATTCCATTTCTGTGTACAAAACAGGCCAAAGTTATCTGTGCTGTTGGAAATCAGGAGAGTGGCTAACTGGGTGCTGGTTATATGGGTGTGTACAGTTTATCAAAAATTCACCAGGGAAGCACTTAACCTATGTGCCCTTTTCTGAACCCATGGTATACCTCAATACAGAGTTTAAAAGAAAACTCTCCTACGGCTTAAGCTAGTGTTGCTCTACTCATAATTTGTAAACTAAATTTAGTGACAGATTGTAGCCTCTATTTGCCATGTTGCCACAAAAATAAAAGCATCACGTGTCTCTTCTGTGCAAAATCCATCCATCCATTGATAACTAATGCTGGGCAAGCCCAGCAGACACATCTGTTGGTGATCTCGGTCCTAGATATTACTCTAAGAAAGGAAGAATCTCCTTTCTGAATGCAGCAGGATCTTACTTCCTGAGAACGCCAGCAGATGGGAAAACAGTGTTATGTGTCCGCCATACAATTCATGGTACACTGTGACTATTGGCCTAACCAACCTGTCTCCTACCTGGATGCGCGTCCCCCGGGTTCAGCACCGAGCAGCTCAGGGCATGTTGTTTGTTGTTTAGAATATGGCTCACTGGACGCAAGGCTGTGGTACAGAAGGCAGCCCCCAACTGGAATATGGCTCCAGCTGGAAACCAGAACCGGGATAACTATCTGCTTTACAATGTCATCTCTAGAAATGTCTGTAGAGGGGCGCCTGGTGGCTCAGATGGTTAACGTCTGCCTTCGGCTCGGGTCATGGTCCCAGGGTCCTGGGATCGAGCCCCGTGTTGTGCTCCCTGCTCGGCAGGAAGCCTGCTTCTCCCTCTCCCGCTCCCCATGCTTGTGTTCCCTCTCCCGCTGTCTCTCTCTGTCAAATAAATAAAATCTTTAAAAAATAAAAAAACAGACCAAGTGGCATTGACACATGAGACACCAATCTGCCACACACACAGAGCAGAAGGACAACACGATGGCAGGTAAGCATAGGAAAAGATGTGCATGTCACAAATCAGAACAGAACAACCATGAGACATTCATTGCCCAAGCAATCAGCAAAGGTGGAAAATACTGGTGTTGTAATGTCTGCAACTTATTTTCAAGTGGTGCAGAAAACTATGGGGTGCATGGTATGTGTGTGTGGGGGGGATGTGGGGGTGTATATGTATGTGTGGCATGTGGTATGTGTGTATGGTGTGGTGTGTATGGTGTGTGTGCCACGTGTTATTTGCAGACAGAGAAAGGGTGGGTATGGAGGGAGAGACCTACTCTCTGGCACTTTCGCAGCTGGTATTCCAACTTCAATCTTTTTGGTCATTCATCTGGATTATTCTACCACCGGGCCCAAAAAGCTATTATTTCAAAAATCACGAATATATTGAAAATAATTCAATCTGTCTGATTCTGTAATAAATGGAAAGTCATTACAGGGCCAAATATAACAAATCAGTAATCCTCTGCCCAAACCAAAGCTTGCTGTCTTTCTAGAGGAGTCTAAGTCTAATTTCAAAATTCACGACAGGTATTCTTGTCAAAGAGTACTCCCAGGCCATCCTGGAGAGCAGTTCCAGCTAGATGAGAACTCATCCCCGCCACAGGAGCCAGTCTGTGGTATCCTTGGCTCTGAGCAGCCAGTGCGTGAGCTTATCCCGGGAAAAAGAGCAGGGGGTACTCAGCAGAGAGCCCATGGATTATAACGCTGCCCTCAGTATTGCCCACCTAAAGCTTCCTAACTAGAGAAGATTAATAACATGACTATTAATCCTGACATGAAAACAAGAACGATTGATAACACAGAATGTTGGCAAGGATATGAAGAAATGGGCCAGAGTATAAATTGGCACAAGATTTTCAAAGGACAGTAAGGACAGAAGCCATAATACTGCTTATGTTCCAGGACCCCTGCCCGCCCTCTCGAGTTGGGACTTCCTGGGAATTAAAGAGGGAGGCTGATTGCAAGTCAAGAAGCATTTATATGTCAGCATTTCTGCCAAACTGCCTAAAGAAATCTCATAAGGAAAGACCTGAATCTTTAAGGACCCAGCAATTCATACGTGGCAAATTCTTTTCTCACATTAATATCCAATTTGCATTAAATTTGGGTTTTGTAATTTTGTCTTTTTTTATAAAGACGGCAGCCCAAATTATATAAGCTTCAGAACCCCCAAATTTGGATCCCTTCTGATTTAGGATATGTTAGGAAATGTTAATATCTATTAACATTTGAATATGCATATCCTTCGGCCAGTCATTCTATCCTAAAAAACAAGCAACAACAACAACAAAACGAATGAATGCCTAAAGGTATGAATAAGGACATTAATTGTTGTTTAGCAAAGAATTGAGAAAAAAACACTTTATTTCTGGGGGCGCCTGGGTGGCTCAGTCGTTAAGCGTCTGCCTTTTGGCTCAGGTCATGATCCCAGGGTCCTGGGATCGAGCCCCGTATCGGGCTCCCTGCTCAGTGGGAAGCCTGCTTCTCCCTCTCCCACTCCCCCTGCTTGTGTTCCGTCTCTCGCTGTGTGTCTCTCTGTCAAATAAATAAAATCTTTAAAAAAAAACCCAACACTTTATTTCTATAAGTAAGGGATTAGATAAGTAAATACAGAGCATCTGTACAAAGGAACCCTATGCCATTAAAAAAAATGAAGACACTCTCTATATTTAATGAGATGGAAAATGTCTAATACATTTTAGGTGAAACAGCGCATTTCAGAATAATGTGAACTGACATACTGATGTGTCCTAATGCCAATTCTCTCCTAAATACTCCATTCATAGGATCTCTTGCCATCTTCATAGCCACTCCCTGACCAAGATACATACCCACTTTCATATGGGAATGAAGCTCAAAGAAATGCCAGTAAGTAGCCAAGCTGGGATTCAAACCCTAGACTTCCAAGGCATTCATACAATACAGTGAATCTCTGTAGAGCCTCATGGCTTAAAGAGAGCTTTCATGTGTGTGTTCTATGATCATCAGTCTTGGACCATCTATACAAGGATTGTTCTTTTTTAATTTTATTTATTATTCTTTAAAGATTTTATTTATTTGACACACAGAGAGACTGAGAGAGCACAAGCAGGGGGAGCATCAGAGGGAGAGGGAGAAGCAGGATCCCAGCACCCTGAGATCGCAATCAGAGCCGATGGCAGACGCCCAACCAACTGAGCCACTCAGGCGCCCCGCCCCTATTCATTTTTCATGAATGAAGAAGCAAGAGGTTTATTTTCTTACAGTTCCAAATCTGGTGGGGGGCACCCCTGGAGCCCTTTCTGTGTGTGTTGCTCTTTAAATTACAGCCCTCTACAGCCTCCCCTGGGGGCCCTGTGGGGTCTAGAGCCGCAAACTGGGGGCCCTCTGAGTGCCGCAGGTGCATGAAGAAATATCCCCACTGGGCCCCCACCTCCCAGACCTCCAGCACACGCTGGTCCTTTTCCGAGATTTCACTGCCTCTGATCTCACTGTCCCGTTCTCATGTTCCAGCTCCCTCATCCTGGCGCCAACCACCTGGCTGGGCCCCATAACTGCCTAGCCAGTTCCCTGATGACACCAGGCTGGAAAGCCTTGTGCCCCAGCATTGGCCCTGCCCAGTCCAGCCTGGCCTTGCAGCGGGACCTAGACAGAATACAGGGGCTGGCTGGTTTGGGGAGCTCCCGTGCATTCTGGATGTTCCAGGGCTGGCGACTAAAGTCTGGGCTAGAGGCCACCATGGGGGCTAAGGATCAGTCCTGATGGGGGCAGAGCTGGGTTAAGGGAGGCAGGCACACCGGGACACCTACGCAAACACATCGGCGGAGTCTACTTGGGGAAGAAGCTCTTTTGCCTCCTGTTACATATTTCCTGCTGGGAGGAGGTGCTTGGCACAGGGACAAGAAGCTTGCAGGTGGATCTTGCCCTTGCTGGGGGCTGGAATGACCCAGGTTACCCTGGGCAAAGCTCTTAATCCTTTCAGAAGCCACCAAGCAGAGAGGGTAACTAGATATGAGGGCTCCCGGGGACTGTGGGAACACCCCCCATGCTGAGGCGGACCACTGCTCCCCTGGGCAAGGTGCCATGTCAGCCACCAGCAAGAAGGCTTTAGAAATGAAATTGAATGCAGTAGCCTGTTTTTGTTCCAAGTCATGGGCTGGCCTCTGCCCTTCCCCCCCGCTACAGACATTTGATGCCAGGCTGGTCCCCGGGGCCCTAAGAAAAACATAAATCATCAACAAAGCTAAAAGACAAGCAGCTGCCTGGGTGTAAGAGACCAGGGATTAGCATTCAGCTTGTATTTAAAGCAAACAAACTCACGAATCCATAAGGACAACTAATCTAATGTAATAAATGGGCAAAGAACATGAACAGAAAATTCACAGAAGACATTTCAAAAGAGCCCA